TACAAATATACTTAATAATAAATAATCGGAATCGTTTAACTTAATATGAAAGAAACCAAAATAACATTTTTTTTTTAAAGTAAAATTTAAAATGTAAGTGTAGGAAGATAATTCATTATATGTTAACTGTAGATTAACACACATTTAATTTTATTTTCATAACACTATGAAGATCAATTTGATTTGTTCAATATATAGAAACTTGTATTCACTTTATCAGTATGTTCTAAACCATTTTACTACACTATAAAAATGTAGTGTTATAAAATGCCATAAAAAATTTAAAACTTATCAATCATGCATCTAATAAACGAAAGAGAAATTAGTACGCGTCCAATGCACCTCTGACCTTGACAATTTTAGCAACACAAGAATGGCTATATATGGCGCGTGAACTTCTAAAAACATTGTAATTGACATATCTAGCTATTTGAAAGCCATTTCATGTTACCTTAGGACTGTCCATATTTTACATCATCAAAAAATGGATCGTTTCTTGCCCCTCTTCCCTCTGTCATCAAGCATTATTATTGTAAATGTCCCTTCCCTAATATTAAAGATAATCAGCACAACCCACTTTATTAATTTAATAAAATAAATAGAATTAATTCGAATATGATCAATTCCATATTGCTACCGATATATTTTTTACACTTTTCTCTCATTTCAGTCCGCTTCGGTTATCCTACTACGCTTATTCTGACTGTTTATGTCGCTATTGGTAATCTGTCGACATGTTCAGTAATCTTGCAACAGGAGATACTTATCAACCTATTATATATGAGATACCATATTTCAGGACCGTAGGAAGAGGAAAAAGTGGTTCAGCCTATAAAGAGGAGCGGTTACCGTAATTACGGCCACGTCTCGTAGTTTCTATATAATGATTTTACTTTCAATAGTTATCTAGTTATTTCAACTTTTCTAACTTCTAAATTTTCCTGGGTATAGACACGTGTAGTGACGGGAAGGGAAAAGCAATACTTTAGGGATAATCTTTTTCTCCTTACACAAAAGTCTAATTGGAAAGGGAGAGTAACCTGTACGAAGTGCTAAAGTCTACAAAAAAGTGCCAAAATCAAGTAGCCTAATCTAAAATTTTACGATACAATATATTGGCTGACAATAATATCAACTGTCTTTACAGGTTTGGGATTTTTTTTTCCTTGTTTTCGGTATGAGCCTTCGACAGCTGTTCTCCAACGTCTTTCATTTGGGAAAGCATAAATGCAGTACTTTTGTTATGGTAGTCATTTTTTGTGATCTCTGAAGGCCACAAATATCTCTGCTTTCCAAAAATTTTTAGTTCCAAAAGAACATTCCCGGTTTTCCGCAATTAAGTTAATTTTATGACTTCAAAGCGCAGCAGCAGAAACATGATGTAACCATTTTCACTGGTTAAATTACATTCTCTGGAATAAATTCGTTTCACTACGATTTTCATCCAAAAGAATGTTTCGGGAATGAAATTCACCGGAAGGCTGATGAAATCCTTCACCTAAATCACATACTTCGTCAATGTTATTAATAATGACTTGCTAAGTGTCATGTTTTCTTGGAATAAAGAGGATTCGGTTCTTAATAATTGATTATACGAGTTTTGAGAGTTAAAAAATTAGTTAACAGTAATTTTCCAGAGTTAGAGGAGATGTTGGTTTGACAGTGTTGCACCCTAGTGGTTGATTTGAAATTATCAATACAATTATATTCCTAATATTGACGGGGAGGGGGCGCTTAAGTCTTCAACGTTACTGGCGTCTTATTTCTCTTGGCAGTTAAGTTTTAAAATAGATAATTTAATGGTTTTTGTTTTCGTAAATTTGATTGAAATGAACAAAAATAAGTTCATATTACTATTATAGTTAATTTGTGGGATTGAATCAAACCCAGGTCCTTTGCAAAGATTCCCAGCAAGGTGAGGAAGACCACCTTCAAATCGACAAAAACATTCTAGCAAAGCAATTTTTTTCAAATTTGGACACGAAATTAATTACCGAATTTACTGAAGTAAGGATATCTGATTCTCCTAACCAATCAGGTGAGCAAACTAAGTTAAATTCCTCGCAAACCTTATCAATAGCGGATAGTGAAGACATCACAACTACAGATTTATGGACAAAAATTATTGAATTAATTACCTCTAGTAATGAAAAGTTGGTTAGTCAAATTTCATTGATTAGAGATTAACTTGAATACGAAATGATTATACTATTATACGAAATGATATTATTGACTTTAAATGATATTAAATTGATAAATGATATTAAAGACTTTAAAAACCAACTACAAATAGTTAATGAGAGAAATGAAAAAATGGATCTAGAAATTAGAAAATTAAAAATTGAAAAAGAATTAATTCAATATAAATTGGATATTTTAGCAAATAGTACTAATAGAAATAAAATAATAATATATAAGCCAAGTACTGTACGTTTAAGGAAGAAACTAAAATAGAAATATTTATTTTATCACAAAAATTCTAAAATTAGAGACTATTGAATTGGAAGATATAAAGTATATATATATACTATACCTAATTCAAAAATTAATGTGTGTTTAGTGTTGCGGTCGAAACAACTAAGAAATAGAATTTTTTTTTGCTTTTAACGAAATTAAACAGAAATGAATTGGAACAATTGCAACAGATGAATGTCTACTGATCTAGTCAAAAATTCTCATAAGAGAAATTATATTCATAACATTGGTAGAATATAATGGTTCGACCACGGTCGAACCTAGTCCTACAGATCGACATTTACATTTAAATTGATTAGAAACTAAGTTACGATGCAGAATAATAATTAACTTCTCTTATGTTTACTTCTATATCAACTTTATTCAACCATTCAGTGAATTTCTGGTTTAATTTATCTTTCTGCACTTTTCATTTTATTTCTTTCTGTTTTGTGAACACTAAGAGTGTCTTTTTTTTCCATAAATATCGTGGGCTTGACTAGGCCCTTAACAGGGACGGGCAGGTGTAAGAGATGGGGATGAAGATTTTCAGTAATTCCGGTAATTTTCATTGTCTTACATCAGCAATACATACTGGATATTGAAGTACAGTATGCTGGTGGCTTCGCTGCAACAGATCGAATTCTCGGCTTTGGAATGCTCGGTCATACTTCTTGCTGAAGCATGATACATTTTACACGTTTTTGAAATAAAATGCTCATACTGAAGCGCATTTAAAATGACTAATAACTAATAAAAATTAAACTTTATGTTATACCATAAATTTTAAAACTTTAATGATTAGTTANAAACTTGGTATTCTTGTATACTAACCGGATACCTTCAATTTCCCGAAAAAAAGTACCCATACGGAGGTACGGTTGTTCACCTGTTATGTAGGTGTATAGAGTGATGCCGGGAGGTCCTCTTACCAGGTTGCGGGTGAGAAACCGGTCCGATGCATTCCACACATTGTATGTATGGAAAAGGAAAAAGAAATTAGCACAAAGAGGAGAAGCAAAACATCTTAATGTGAATCTTATTGAAATTCAAGTGTGTACGCATATTTTACCAATTGGAAAGAATCGTCGATTCGTATCGCCATTTAGTTGTTATTGAACGATTTTACTTGTGTTGAAACTGGTGTTAGAAAGTTTAGAATTATAATGAATATTTGTAATTCGAAACTTGTAAATGCCTCTCGGAATTTAATAAAATTTAGTATATTATATGTCAATTAAGTTTATTAAGGTATTATAATTTAAATAAAGTTTCGATAGAATAGATGCAATATACTCTTATCACCGTGAAGGATCCGAATTGGAATTCAAACTGACTCATTATATATTATAGTTAGTTTGGATCGGATAATTGTTTCTTATCCTTCATCTATGCTGGTTGATCTCATTTCGATTTAGGCCCGTCTATAATATGTAAAACTTGAAGCCAGCTGTATAGCCTACAGGTGCTAGTACATTGCAAAAAACACCTGAAAAATTATAAGTCCTATATTTATTAAATTTTCCTTAGTAAATTCAGTAACACAGTCTACTATACGTTCATTAAATTTATTTGTCCTTCTAAAAAGACATCTGCCTTTTATTCATAAACCATCTGTCTTTCTTTGTAATAATTTTTCCTCCAAAATATTGTAGAAATGCTTAATATATAATTATTATGTAGTCTGTTCTAGATATATAGGCTATATATATATATATATATCTAGCCTATAAATTTTATTTTCAATTTTTTGAAAGAATATTCGTATGAAATTAATATACTGATTCATAAGAAAAAGCATATATAATATCCTATAGGGAAAGGTGGGGCAGGATGAAGACGTTAAGGTTTGAAAAGTCATAAGATGACAACCACTTTAATAAAAACGATAATTTTTTTATTCTTAGCAACTACAACATTTGGTAATATATAATACAAAATTTAATTTTTGAAAAACGTTTTTAAAAACAAGAAAATTTAATATTATAAAATTATACGTAAATGCACCGTCTTGCCCCACCCGTGGGGTAAGATGGGAATATTATTTTTTATATACAAGAAAAATAAATTAAAATGATTAAACCGTCGTTTTCTTCAATATTGGCACAAGAACAATGTGCCCACTTATCACAGCGGCTACATTTATTATTACAGTATTTTCCGAATAAATAAATATAAAAGTTTGAACTTACTCATATTTACTTTACCAGACGATACCGTCACTTCACGCATGCTCAGTTCCGCTATTTTGTAAGCAGACGATATTTTTTTTCGTGGAAAAAAATTTTTATTTCGATTGTTCTCTCACATTTTATTTCTTATTAAGATAGTATTTAAATTTAAAAAATGTTTTCACAAATGAAATAAAACGTAAAAACATAAATAATAAAGTAATACAGTATATACTGTATAAATTTATTACAGTTAGATATGATTTAAAAGTGGAATATTTCATTTTCTATAAAAAGATTATTTTTAAACTTATTATTTTATATATTCGAAAAAATGATATAGAATTATCAATGACAACGAATTTAAAACTAGTTCGCTGCACTATATTACAGTGCCTCTAGCTAGCAGCAGAATCCATGGCCAACCTTGGGCAGGATGGGGTACCCCATCTTGCCCCAACGTGCACTTTTCATACTGACTGCAAACACGGGTCAACTTTATTTCAAAACTAAACAATTTCAGTTTTAAAGGTTATTTCGAATACCGTAATATCTTCGTCTAAAAGGTAATGTAAAAGTTCGCAATGATGCTTACTTTGTAGAAACTTTGTAGCGGGCGTAAAATTAGATGAAGTATTGCCGAAACAGGAAAACTGTCTTACTTCCAAACAAAGAGAGCGATTCGGACGTTCTCTCGTCCCGCGATCCCTTTTGAGCTTGACATTTAGTTTCCTAAATAACAGCTAGATTTTCATCTAGCTGTTATTTGGCTGTTATTAGCGCGTTAACCACGAATAAACAGACGTCTCCGTCTTACCCCATAGCCCCATCTTTTACCACCTTCCCCTATATATCCTATAATATATTATACGTAAAGATATCGAGATAAAAAGTACAGTATATTAACGTTTTTAAGATAAAATAAGATTATGTAGTGATAATGATTAAGGCATAGTATATTAATTTTATATAAATATTTTTTCAAAAAATTGTGGAAATATCTTTCTCACATTTTGTTTTATTTGCATCTTCAAATTATTTAATGGAGAAAAAATATATGAAATTATCTCCAACATAACTAGCGATTTAGTTTAAGAGGTTTTCAAGTGTGAAAATGCAGAGATAATTCTATCTGTATGTTTCTTTTTATGTAACTAACACCTTATGAAAACATTATAATAAGCTATAGTTCACTTGAGTATTTTCTTAGGCATTACTTTTAATTAACAAATAAAATAATAATTATAATAAAATGTTTCGATTAATCAAATTAGTTAAAAAATAGTAATATTAATGATTTTAAAAAATAGCTGGCATAAAAGTAATTTATAACTGACGAAATAGGGAATTTTATCGATGAAAAAATTGATTTACAGGGGGTCCGAAAAAGAACTGAAAGTTTACGAAAAGTATTTTGTGTTTAAGGAAACAGATCAACCCGTGATTTTTAGTAATCGTCAGCAAAACTTAAAAAGTTTTTCCTGCATTAGAAAATCTCAGGGCACTATTGTTACTGCAGTTAAAACTTTTGAATGAAGTTTTTCCTAACCGATGAAAAGGCGAGATAGGATCAATTTAGGTTACATACCGACCTCTTTTGAAAGTATTATTCACCGATTATGTGAAAGGCTTGGTTATTAAAGACCCGTAACAGATATTGAAACATTAAAAGGTTTTATAATAAACGCAATCGGACTGTCACTCAAGACATTATGTAACATCCGGAGATAGATTGAATATCATCTCGATATTGTGAAAGTAACGCATGGTGTACTGTATATATCAGATTTACTAAAAATGAGACATGTTTTTGAGTTTGTTCACTAATTAGGGCAAACCGTGTGACTATATCTGTTTTCCTTAAATAAAATACGAGTGTCTGCAATCCGACTAATTCGAACAAAATAAAATATAACTCCAATTATTCGGATTTCCCTCCGATTTTGTTAAAAATAAACAGGCATACGTACTGTATATGCATGAAAATTAATTTTTTTTTTCTAAATGTAGAAAATAAAGTAGGGGAAAGCGAAGGAAGATGACAAGGATAGGAGATAGACGAGGGCTTCTTTTTCCAAGTTTTGAAGCAGCTAGCACCACTTGTCTTAGTAGATAATGAATAGTAAAAAAAAAGAACAATCATGTAGTTAAATTGTTTTCGAAATTTGCAGTTTTGTGCATTTTGGAAAGGAGTTATTTTGATAGCTAACGTTAAGTGTCTGAATTTTTATGCAACTAGCGCAATATTTTTGATAAGTATATTTATAAAATAATAATAATAAAATTATTGATGAGCTGAAGTTAAGATCATGCCAAGTTGTATTGTTCCACCATGTTTTGCACCGAAAAGTCAAGGTGCATCGTCTCTTCTCTATTCGGAAGAGATGACTTAGTTAGAAGGGAGAAGAGATGACGCTATTTTCATATATATTTTAATATGAGGAGAGTACATACTACTAACATTGGAGTGTACTGTAATAGTCCAATACTATTCTAGTTGTGTATTTTTATACTTATAGGATAGTTTATAGGACTCATTATGTTACATGTACAAATATTAAATATATTTTGTTTAAATTAAGAATAAAAATGTGTTCATTTTCTGCTGACTTATTATTGTCTATTTCGGTGCAATATCTACCACACTCATAAAAACATAAAAATGAAAAAATATCTCTCTTAACATATCGTATACGTTTCTAACTTGTTATTCGTATTTATTTCTCTATAAGGCAACTATCAATAATGCGTCTTCTTATCAACCCTAGTGGGAGAGATGGAAAAGAAGTACAGTAACTAAGATATATTTGTTATAGTTAATTTTCTATCATCATGATTTTAAAAATAACAATTTTCCTAAAAAGATTAACAATTGTAGAATGCCGTACCATAATCTGTTCTTCAATGCGTATATTATTGATACAGAACGATTTTCCAAAATGTGCGTCGTTTTCCTCGCTTTATTACTTATTCATTAGTAGGTACATTTTCACATTTAATATTTTACTTACACATAATTATGTACATACGTAAAGTACATAACGGGATGTTCGGATTGGAAAAAAGACTATTTTAAGCAAAAATTCAATTATTTGGACAGTGCCGGATTTACCATTAGTCGAACCTAAGCGATCGCATAGAGGCGCCAAGATACGGAAGCTCCGAACTTATTCACAAAGAAAAAAATAAATTGTTAGTGTTAATTAAGAAAATTTTATTTTAAATGTTCATAATAATAATGCTTTTATAAATATCCACATATATGAGTGTGTGTGTTTGTATGAGTACGATAATATTAATATATATACCGGCAGTGGCGGCTTTAGGGGGTGGCGAGCAGGGCAATCGCCCGGGGCCTCGCTCTTGGAGGGGCCTCGCGCAACAACCAAGTAGAAAAAAGTTGATATTTAAAACTTTTTACTTTATCCTTGGCTATTAGTTATAACAATAAAATAAATTTAATTTATAGTACAGTATATATTAATATTAATAAGTGCCTACNATTGAATAAAAAATAAATTATATTATACTATTCAGCCGATAATCATAAACAGACGATGTTTTAATGAAAAAAAAAAAAAAAGGTAGATGGCACTGAACATAAAAATAGCAGACGAACTTGGAAATCGTAAGTTTGTCTATGATTTAATTGTATTTGAAAAGTTAAGTGTAATTAAATAATTTAAATAAAACATTCTGTTAGTTTTTGCTTTATTTTTTTTCAAAAATAAATTAGATAACTTATTTAAATTTTAATCAAAAATTTTTCTCTTGTAGGACACAATTAGTTTTATGATAAATGGCGCAAGAAAATTTATTAATTACTATTGAACATCATACTCATGGTGACAGATGGATGCTGAATCATTCGAATCTTTCTTTATGTCTGGGTTGTTGTGTATTATTATTAGAAGATCCAAATATACCAAATGTGAATAAAAAGTTTATCTTAAAAGCTATAACAGAAAATCTTCGTGAAGAAAATCAAAATTTTACTCAAGTTATCGTTAAAGATGAAAATATTTGTCTTCGTGTAATGCAGATACTTTTAGGTAAGTCAGCGTTAATCATATTAGCATAAAACAAAATAAATATTAACATAAATATTGTAAAATATGGAATAACTGAAATAAATGAAAGAAATATAAATATATAAAAATATAATTATAATAAATTATACGTTCTCTATATTCTTTATCTTCTTTAGTTGCATTTCATTACGTCATTTTAGCTTATTATAATACAATCGCTTTGATAAAAATCATTAATCATAATTTATTTTTAGTTGAGATGAACTTATGATATATTTTTTGTCCAAAATATATTTTGAGCATATTAATTTTTCGCAAACATTATATAAAACCTATACAGTATTTAAGCATCTTTGTGCTTAAATAGGTTAGATATAATAAAAAATTCAGATAAAATTAAAATATTTCAACTTAAATTTTGGCTAAATAATTTTGTCAAGAAAAATAAACAAAATTATCTCTGCAGTTTATATACCTCAATTCAAAAAAGTAGTCTAATATGAAAAAAAAAAAAATTATATTTAAAATCGTATAGAAGCACTTTTATATTCTGACAAATTTCAAGAGTAAACAACATTATAATTTTGTTTAAAATTAAACCAAATTCTAATTATTACAAATCGCCTTGATCAGTGAATAGACAAGTAACAAAAAAATTGTGCTGTGTTACTTTGCTGTTTAAATTCAAATTAATTTTTTTAAATATAACGCTTTTTAATACTTTTTTCAAGTACCGGTACATTTCAAGAGAGAATTTGTATGTGATCATAAAATTGAAATGTATCACTTTCTTCAATATTTGATATTAATATCTATAACAATCTTAAAAATTCTCTTTTCAAAAGTGTTTGATTAATATTATTCTAAACGGATCATGTTTAAAATAGTAATTTCCTCTTATACTCTGAATATTATAGAAACTCAAAATATAATGTACTTAAGCATAATATTAATTTATCAATAGTATTGAAGTTTTCAGAATTTCCACAGGCTTACCAGACTAATTCCCGATTTTAAAAGTAAAAAATCAGTTTAATAAAAAATTATATTCTTAACTATTTATATCAAAATTAATGACTGATGTTTTTATTAAAAAAGTAATCAAAATCAATGTTTTTATTAATTATTAAATCTCATATACAGTAATACCTCGACTTACGCTACCCCGACTTACGCGATTTTCAAATCTTGTCGATTCGTCTTTTGTTTGAGTGTCACGCTACTTTTGATTACTCACTCCTCCCACACTATTGTTCAGTTTACATGTTCGGACGTGTCGCGCGGAATCGACACATAGCTACAATTTATTTTGTGTTATTTATTTCTGTGTTTGTTATATCTACGGAGACTTGAGAGACTCTATGTGGTGATTTCTTGCAACCGTGAACGAATCAAAAGACAAGATAAGATTAACAAGAACATTTATTAGCTTACATACATCCGACTTGGATTTTACACAAATTGCGAAATTATACCCCGACTTACGCGAATTCGACTTACGCGAATTTGACTTATCGCTCGGTCCCACCTATCGCGTATGTTCGGGGTATTACTGTACAACTAAAAACTAATTATTATTAATAGATTAAATAGAAAATTTTATTTAATTAGAATTAATTGGACAAGAAGAAAATATAGCTGTTCCATCAGCAGCTGAATGTAAGTATTTCATTCTCTATGTATTAATTTTACACAAACTTAATTTTAACTAATTATTTTACCAAAACAAACAATTATATATTTATTATGTGTATTTTCAAATACGGAATTAAAACATAATAATTATTATTAACTGTCTTTTTATTTCCAATTGTTCATTTATAAATCAGATCAAAACAAGATTAATTCTGTAATGTAAGTATTGTGTATATACAATTTCAAAACGCAAAATTAAAATTAGCATTTTTATTTTTAAATTTTTTATTCTTTAATTACGTCATATAAGTGCATTTAAATTTATGGCTATCTTGATCAAATCTCTTGGAATCCGATATCATTAGATACTATATAATTGTAAGTGTTTGTTTTTCATTAAATATCTTGCAAATTGAGATTAGATCGATTATTTTGTTATATATCTACTGGTACCAGTTTTAAGTTAATATATAAGCTATGCCTATTTAACCAGATTGGACAAGGGCCTGCCTACCTGAAGGATCAGAGAATTCTTTCGGTAGCCCTCGAAACAGATGCTTGTAAAATTAAAATAATAATAATAATAAAGAGGAGACGATCTGCGTACATTTTCAAATTAGAGAATTGTGCAAGTGTATCTGTTCGTGTCACTTTTTTTTTCTTTTTGATGGAAACGCGAAATCACTCTGGTTAAAAGTAACTTAATAAATAATGGGAGTCTGCTAAGAGTTTGTAAATTGTAAAATATTATTGCAGTTTAAGTACTAAACCTTAATAACTATCCGAACCTCAAGTATTATCTGAAAACGTTTTTCCAGACATGTTTTTTTTTTTTTAATCCGGACGACGTAAAATTATAATTAACATGTTCAGTGTGTTTTATGTAAATATAGTATTGTGTTTAATAATAGTTTTTTTTTATCAAGCATCATTCAAAGTGAGCTGTATTAATGTTGCCAGGTCGTGAGGCCTACTGGCAAGACTTTCATTCATCCAAATTGTTATTAATGTGCATAAAACGCAGTATTAAAATAATGATGATATAAAAGCAAAAACAAAAACTGGAAATACAAATATTTTCGTCCTTTTAAATAAAAAAGGTAAAGGCAAATGAAAGTAAGAGAATTCGACAGGTTTCAAAATTCAGATTTAAGTAGAAATAGATTCGTTTTTCTTATTTTGATTTGTAACTGAAAAAGCCTCAAATAAAAAGTGAAAATACTTATATTTCAAGTTTATTAGTCTTTTGTTTGATGCTTGTTTTTTATTATTATAATCAATTGACACTGAGTTTTATGAACTCTAAGTTTGGTTAATGACATCAACATGGCAAGCTATAATTTTCGCTCTCAATGATTGATATTAATATGTGTGTTTTGCGTTTTTGTTTTAATATTTATATTGTGCGAATTACTAAATTTTCATACCAAATGCAATGATGAATGATATAATATTAATTTCTAACTAAATTACTGTAAATTACTATTACTTATTATAAATTATTTATTAAATTACACAAACTTTAAATAATTTTTTAATTTGTAGTTTAAGCTTAAATTCAAATTTATAACATAATATTTAGCGATAAGATAGATATTTGCTATCGAATTTGGCAACGCTTTTATATTGAACAGTGCCAAACTCATTACACTTGACCTAGAGTAAAAATAAGATTTTTTCGGGAATGAACAATCACAGATTCTACTGGTGTTTTTTTTAAATAAAATACATAAGCTTCGCTAAACGTTTATTAAGAAATTACTTAATTGATTATATTGTCTCTAAAAATAACTTTCTAAAATATTTCAGGTCTTCGTACTTCCTAAGTTCTCTCTGTAAACACCTATCTTCCTGCAACCATTTGGCAGCGTAATAGGTTATTGTATTGTGGTTTCACTAAACTTAGAACTGAAAGAATGACTTAATTTAATTTTTGCGTTCCAGATTGACTTTATTTGAAAGGGTTGTATTTCTTTCGATACCAAAATTGCGTTCTGAAATTTTTGTTTTAACATAGCGACATAACTAGAATTGTGTATTTTTAATTTATAAATAATTTTAAGATAGATTTTTATATTTTAGACTTTACATAATAATTCATTTCGATCTTAATGTCAAAAATTGATTTGCTATTTACTCTGTGTGTAATTTGGATTTATAAATTTAATAACAGTATTTATTCTATATTTATTTTCAGGTCTAACGCTTGCATTAGAAAAATTAACAATTAAGAAACTTGATGATTTAATTGTGCAAAATTTAATAAAACGTGTAAGTAGAACAGAAAAGAGTAGCTATTTTTACTTTTAAAGAGGGATAGTTTTGGCTGATGACCAAGTTGTGAACATCTTACAAAATCACGCTTGGCTGGCCATCTTAGAACTTTTATTTACACAATAATTCTCTCATAGAATTCAAAATTATTTAATAGCTTAACTAACAATGTAATTGAAAACTAGATAAAATAATTAACATTAATGATATTATTGCTAATTATTAAATATATATATATATCATTATAAAATAAAATTTTCGAATGATATACAATAAAAATTTGTTATCGATTTGTTTTTTTATTTAAACATATATTTGTATGTAAAATGCATTTTCTTTTTTATACCTGAAATAGAATATTGTCTAAAATAGAATAATTTATATTAGATTTTTGTTATTAAAGCATATATCGTGATGTGCATGCAAAACAGAAATGAACTAAATTGCTAATAATATGTGCTGTCTTTTTTTTTTTTTTTTTTTTTTGTTAATATACCAAATAATGTCTACAGGAAACGTCTACATTAAGATTTTAATGTAGACATTTCCTGATTCAGTTCACTTTTTCGATATCACTAACTAGCGAATGACAAGATAAGAAGTGACTATGTCAAAAGACAGAATGGCCCATTTTTTATTCGCTTACAAAACCAGACGTTACGATCCGGTAGTTGGTGACTGTGACCAAACATGGCAACCAATTGTAGAAGTTCTCTGACAACAACCAAGAACAAAAGGAGAGACGAGACGACCGAATGTCTCTCCCTTGGCCAAATAGAACATGAATCTGGTTAGATAGAATAAAAATAACTTTCTTTCTGACATCCTCTTGGCTTGGTTGATGTTACAATGTAGGCCTACGTGTCATTTGACTGAATCACCTTCAATTACCTATTCCGGTTTAGTTCAGTTACCGATGTGAAAGGTTTCACACAGGTCTAAATGAAATTTCTAATAATTGTTGTTTTATTTTAAACTGCATATATATTTTAAAAATTCAAATATTTTGAATTTTATATTAGTAAAATGTTAAATATATTAAGAATAAAATATTAGTATTTAAGTTACACTTGGACGTATCAGANATATAATGTTTTTCAAAAAATACGCTACATTCAAATTTCATATATGAAGAAATAAAATTTCTTTATATATCGAAAATCACATTTTTTTTCTGTGTATAGTTTGTTTAATAAATTTAGGCTTTAAGATATGTTTAATAAATTGTATAGCTGTATTTAATAAATAATAATCATGCAAATACATTTTCGATACGCACTCCATCGGCATTTAGAATTATCTACAATCGACTAGTGTAGATCGACTCCTAACAAAACATTTTTCTCAAAATTGCTCTTATTTCACGAAGAAAAGGAATAAACTCATCTTGAAAAGAGATTGAATATAATGACCGATATTTACGATATTGTTTAAATATATTGGCCTAACAATAGTGATAATGCTCAATTTCCCAAGGTTTTTGAATTCATATTCATTAAATACGTAAACTTTTGAAAAATGGTTTCGATATCGTAATATCAAGAAAACTAAAGCGACTTTTTTAGAAATATCTTTATAGGTATTTTTTATATTCATTCATAATTATTTTTTAAAACAAAAATATAATTTTTAGTACAGTAATGGTTAGACAGGAGATCTGACTTATCTGGATCAAATCGTCTATGAAAATTTCATGGGATTCTCTGCTCGGATTTGACCCGGATCCTCAAAACGGCAAATTGATGCTTCTATCGCTTCAGCCTTTCAGTTGGAAATCATATATTCACAAATGTTTCTTTAAAATGTAGTATATTAAAAGTTCCCGAGATATAGGCAATATTAATGGTTATGCTTATTTTTTGGACATGAGTGTTCACAGCATAATATTTGTAAGTTATCTATCATGACAGTATCATATTATAAATATTTTATAATTAATCAAAAATTTGATTAATTATAAAATATTTTATTGTTATTTTTATTAAGATCATACAATAAAATAAGTTTTCATAAAAAATCTGGGACAGAAAACTTATCGTTTTAAATATTATTTTATTTAAAACTACAGAATTATACTTTTAATTATTTTCATAGATTATATATTATTGCAATTTTTTTTACACGATATAGTATTTATTAATAAAATATAGGTTGCTTTT